TACTGATTTGTTTCTATAAAACTAAGCAAACATAAGGATACGACATACAGAGTGTGCCTCAGAAAATTTGACCTTCTTGTAGGTTTGGACGGAGTGAATTTATAAAAAATTGACGAAAAGGATTAGTTATTTAGGAAGCGTGGGTGTATTAAATTAGAAAATACGGAAAAATATCAGATAACTACAAATAACATGGAAAGAGGTAATAAAATAGATACACAAAACTACCGGAAGTAGATTGAATTTATGGCTAGGTTATTAGATATAGGGTAGAACAGCACATCATAGTGAAGGAGATAGAGGAAAACTATGTCTCTGTCATGCCGTTATAGTATCCGCATACTGAACAAATTTTTCTTCGCAGACGTGTTAGCTGTGTGCTAGTAAAACGGCAACAATCCAAGCTAAACTGTTGGATGAATATTCAAATCCCAATTGAGATAATCTGTGTAATAATATTATCATTAGAACTAACAGATGATAAAAACTAAACGAGCAATTCGACACCAAAAAGTAAGGAGGATTCTCTATACAAACTTACTTCCAAAAACTTCTGCTATCGGAGCTAGACCCCTTTAAACGGATAGGTTAAAATTCAGTTTTTATTTTATTTCTCAGTGATGAAAACATTGTAATCTTACATTATTTTATCAAACACCAATATTTTTAAACATCTATGACCTTGGGAAGGGTGAAAATTGCAACCCATAATCGTTTTTCTCATTGCATGCTGTTTAGGAGTTGTAAAACTTGCGAACCAAAAAATGCCATTTAAAACTTTTCTATCTTTAATATTTTTTCACTAAAGTGTCCGTTTTTTAGTAAATACACTACATGTTCATTAGAAAAAAAACATTAAAAATAGCCAGTGTTCAGACCAATTTTAATTTTGAACTGACTACATGCTGACTACTATACTATTATTTGTTTACCACATTCTTTCCATTTTCTTAATAATTATTAAGAAATCTTATAGGATTTACTAAATCTTATAGGATTTACGAAAATCATACATTGTTGACAGCAGTAGGGCATAATTCACGATTTTTTACACAGATACTCTTAGTTTCTCTGGAGATGCCATAATGAATTTTCATAACAATCACATACGACCTTATGAAAACCCACACACAGTGTTAGAATATAGTCACCAAACATAATTTTCTGGTAAGTGGAATTTGTCGGAGACTTTCTGATTGGCTCATTATTTCTTTCCAGCATATTGACTGAAGAAATTTATTGGAAATTTTTTAAGAGGATTTACCAATACTACTTAAAGAAAGCCCTGTTTTGTTAAGACAGACATGTTGTATATGCATAACGGTGCTCCAGTCCATTTCAACTTGGTTCCTAGGTATTGCATGTTATATGTATATCCAAATCGTTGGATCGGTAGAGGAGCACAATATTGGCTTTCATATTTCCCTAACTTAAACCCTCTCGATTTATATATCTGGGGACATCTTAAACAATAGGTTTATACGAATTCATTTGAAAATTTGGAGCAATTACGAAATTGCATTAATGCGCCTAGTAGAACAATTGTACGCCATTTCCCACAATTTTGCTAAACGTATTTAGAAAATCATTGTAACAAAGGATACTTATTTTATATTTAAAAAAGAAATCGAGCTTTTTAGTGAAAAAATATCTGCACCATTATATAACAGTGATTATAAAGTTTGGAACAAAATTCATAACTTTTATACTGAGTGATTTAAAAAAAAAAAAAAACACCGAGACAGGTCGATTTTATTCTCGGCCTATAAATTTGTTTTTTCTTATGAAACACTGTATATTTTTTCATATTCGGATATAGCTTTCTCTACGAATACATTGATGTAAGATTTGATGGGTCTATCATAAATAACAAGGGAGATATTGGGAGAAAATTACATTTATTTCAAAAAATTATTTAATGTCATTTTTCTTAAAAGAAATTGTACTTGGAAACGAAACAAATGCAAATAATTAACGAAAAAAATGACGAAAAAAGTTTGCAAGTTTAGCAATGAAAATTAGGGTCCTTTTTATTGGCACTCAGGTCACTCATAAAAGTTATTAAATTCCAGATTTTGGTGGTTGCTTAGAAACAAAAACACCAGTGTTGTAGCATGACATTTTCACAAATTAGTACGTTATTATAACCTTAATAAACTTCGCAAATTTATCACTCAATTTTTTGGGGCTTAGAAGGAATGGCAGATTTTAACTGAACGTGAAAGGATAGAGATCTTAATGATGGTTGGATATCACCATATCCAACGTTGCTTATCACCATAAGCTACGAACCCTTAAGCTATTAATCAAACACATGCTGACAGGTTTACAGCAGCTGGGTGTGTAAGCAATAGGACACGACAAGGTCGACCTCAAATCACTGAAGAAACCAAGTTAAATTTATTGCTGGAAATTGAAAAAATCCTGATCAGTCAACAAGACAACTAGCCCTAAACGACAATGTGGATCAATCATATGTTGTAAAGTTGCTTCGCACAGAAAAGTGTCGTGGATATAGTCCAGCTGATACACGAATTAAATGAGGATGAATGACCCAGACAACCGGTTGCACTTTTGTAATGTAAATCCAAACTTTCTAAGCAACATAATTTTTATAATTTTTTTTGACGAGGCCACATTATGTTTAAATGGCTCAGTACATCGCCATAATTGTAGATATTAGTCAAATGACAAAAATTCCACAGTCAGCGTAAAGGCAAATTAAATGTATGGGTGGGAATCACAGGAAGGCGATTTTTTGATCCTTACTTGTTTTTAAGAAAACCTCACTGCTGCTAGATAGATTTTCTGCGTCTTAAGTTGGTGAAGGCTGTATCAATTCATTTCTCCAACGCTGCAAACGGCGATATACCCCATGAAAATATTTAGTTTCAACAAGATGGAGTTCCACCTCACTTTGGCTTAGAGGTTCGGCAATATCTTGATGAGATACATTCCCTAAAAGATGGATAGGACGGAGAGGATCTCTTGAGTGGCCCCTGCATTTCCCCGACTTGGCTACTCTGAATTTTTTCTATGGGGTTATTTAAAATCTACGGTATACTTCAATTGACCAAACAATTTAGCAGACTTACAACTGAGAATTTCGTACTGAAATGGAAAGAATCAGCCCAGAAATTATCAAGCGTAGTGTACTGTCTACGCTTCCGTTTCCTACTGGATTCTTGTTGCGCGATTTTTTCGATGCCGGGGCTAGTAAGACTCCTGGGAAGGCGTAGAACTTCGTATTGCTTTTTTTTTGTAAAAAATATCACAAAACTTTCTAAAATGGTTTGCTACTGAAATAATGGTCCGAGGTTTGGTTTACCGTGGTCCGAGAATCATTAGTCGATTCGTATTTATGTGTCTGTCACTATCATATACCTTATAAACTACTATGGTCTATGGTCACTATCTAAATTTAACTGATGACAGCGATGTCGCCGTTTTTTCGCTGTCTACGATGATTTTATATTTATTTTACATTAGATTTAATGCAAACGCTTGGGTTCGGTGACAGTACAAAGTGTTTACACTCGCGCGGACCAGTGCGAAATTGTTGGCGGAGGACAATTTGAAAATTTACATTAAATTCCGTTAAATTATTTGCATTTGTTTCGTTTCCAAGTACAATTTTTAATTAAAAATGACATTAAATAATTTTTTGAAATAAATGTCAATTTCTCGCAACATCTCGCTTGTTATTTGAGATAGACCCTTCAAACCTGTATTCGTAAGAGAAAGTTTTATCGAAATATGAAAAAATATACAGGGTGTATCATAAGAAACAACAAATTTGTTGGCCGTCCAGCTTTTCTGGGTCACCCTGTATACAACTGAATCATCTTAAAAGATGCCCCTCCGGAGAACATAATAGACCTGTCTCGGCGTTTTTTTTAAATATCGCTCAGTATAAAAGTTATGAATTTTGTTCCAAACTTTATCATAAATGTTATACTAAGAATGGAATGGTAATTAATTATTTACTAGTTTTCAACCATATATTAGTATACCACTGTCCGTATTATTAAATATCGTACCATCGTCTACGTCCCAACAGATATTAAATTTATGCTCTTGGAGTTTGGGAAAAGGTTAAGAAAGTCTACAGCTTATTCGAAAGAGTGGTGAAAGGGAAGTAGATAATTACTAAATGAAGAAATATTCCCCAATTGGAAATATTGTATAATATTAACTCCACAATAAAAGCTTTCTTTGCTAAGTACAAAGCCTCAGCGATATTAAAATATTTCTTACAAACAACAAATTATATCAGAGAACTTACTTTTGTTGTGTTTATTAAGTCTCTCGTTCCAACAATCCCCGCATAAACGTATATAAATACGATATTTTAAATTCCACGGCCGAAGCTTTCACGAGTTTCCATTAAATTCCTAGGCAGTTTGAAATTAAATATACCGAGCCGAAAGTTTTAATTCAAGTCCCATGTAAAGCTTATTATTTCAATTACGCTCTTTATCCTCCACGTCTGCCGCTCCAAGACCGTTTTTGAATTGTGAATTCAGTAATTTAAACAACAACAAAGTTTAATTAGATTACCTATTGTATTTTTAAGGCGATTAGGATTGCTAGGGTCCCCATGGAATACAAAGAAATTCGACCGGGAGCTAATTTAATGGGTTTTGAGTTGGATACTTACACCAAATTAATGTGTTCTAATTATTTTGTTGAACAGGCTTTTAAAATATTAATTAATTTACTTGAATAAGGCCTGGTGCAAAGCTTCTTTGGAGGAATCAGGAAGTTTTTTGCAGCCTTTCGTGGGTGTTATTTGTAATCAGTTTTATTTAAAGACATTTGTCTTAATTTTGGCTTAGAAGCCAATGAGAAATGAAATCTGTTCAGTATTTGAATAAATATAATACATTTATAAATTTCCGAAACAATTTATTTATTTGGTAGATCATGAACACATAAAAATGTTTTCCAATAGCAGTGCCACGTACATACACTCAGAGCATTACAATATGTAAACTTACCCTGCAAAAGCTAGTGATGGCTGATATCTGAAACAAAAATACGGTTAGGGATTTTAAGGCTTTTACGGCACGTGCTGATATTAAATTATTAAACAATTTTTCTCCATTTCGTAAATAATTACAGTGAATTACAAATAATACTGTGTTCTAAATTTCAAGATATTCGAGAAAATTGTTTTCTTATACAGCAGGATAAATATTTATTTGATAAATTGTACTTTTGCATTAACTGAGTGGGTAATATACAGGCATAACATTAGGACCTAGGAAATGGTAAGAAATACGGGGTGGCTGAAATTAGAAAAAAATTGTATTTTTTATACCTAACAATGCCGTTTAGAAAGTTTTAAAATTCGTGGTAGTTCCGGAGTTATCCGAAATTCTGAATTAGATGATATTACTATTGTAATCACTTTAAAAAGGTTTTTAGCTTGTTTTAGCTATCAATTAAAATTTTTCCTAAGTACGGCCATGACCGCTTTCAAATTATCTATTGGAGGAGGTCATAACAGTATAAAAGTAAATACAGCACAAAATATCCAACAATATTTTTTACTGCTATTAACAATACTAATTAGAAAAAATAAAACATTTCATAAATTCGTATTATTTTTTTTAAATTATTGATTTAAAAAAATGGTTGGATATTTTGTGCTGTATTGACTTCCTCCAATAGATAAATTTTGAAAGCGTTTAGAGCTGCACTCAGGAAAAATTTTAAAAGATAGCTAAAACAAGCTAAAAATGACTTCAGATTTTGTCATAAAAATTGCAGCGACGTATTTAAAAAAATTGACCTGATGATGGTCCATCGAAGACGAAACGTCGGATTTCAAAAAATGTTGACGCCATTGGATAGAGCGAAAAAAGCGGCACTGTAAATATGCAATTTATTTTAAAATTCGTTTTCAAATAAAGCCAGATAAAAAAATAAAACGATTTTGTAAAATTTCGGGTTTTCCCGGATATCTCCGGAACTGCCGGGAACTTAAAAATTTTCTAAACGGCATATTTTTAGGTATAAAAAAAAACAACTTTTTTCTAATTTGATCCACCACACATCTCTTACCGTTTCAAGATCTTAATTCTATCCCATCTTTATCTTGGACAGACTGTATAATCTAAAAAGTGTGTAACATCTATAGTAGGATCGTATTCGATGCAAAGTAGAGCAAAAAGTTGTGGTCTTTTATCAAAGGAAAATCGTGTCATCATTTTTAGGAGGCGTAAGATGAACCATTTCAAATTTAAAATGAAATTCAATGTTAAATCTGAAATACCGCTGCATACGCACTGAGTTCTGGTAGTAGCTGCAGTCGCCCAGGTGCATCGAGTGTACGAACTGGTCGGTTATACGTCAAATACTAACCTGGCGAGCTTTGCCGTCAATTAGAGAGCGCTTCCAAAAAACAAGTAAACAACAGTGGCGCGTACAGAGGTAAAATGTAGTACATATGTGGAATTTAAAATATTTAAAATAAATAGTTTATGAGAATAAAGGAATTTTTTTTGAACAAGGGTGCCAGACCCGAACTGATCCCCTCGTCCCTTCATAATGTATAAAGAAATTATTCAATTTGTAAAACCCTTAAAAACGTACTTCATTGGTTCCCTTGACAGGCAATGATTTATTACTTTGCATCGAATATGATCCTACTATAGCGGATGTAATTCGATGCTGGATGGACATGTAGGTAGCGGAATAGTTGTTTCTCCTAGTTATTAAAATAATACTTAAAAAATATTACCTATGGGGAATCTTTTTCAAGAATAATTACATTCCATCACCCATTTCTTTTTTTCATATGCTTTTCAGAAAATTTTTTCAGAAAATTTCCTATTTCTATAGAATAAATGGAAAAGAAAAAATTAAATTTAATATTTTAACTGAAGCTGCGAAAAACGATTTCTCAAATTAAACAAATTTTTTTTCGGAACTGGTTGAAAAAAAAAACGAAATGATGACTTGTTTAATTTTGAAGAAAAAAAATCTCAACGAACTTAAACAGCTTAGTTTTCGATATATGTGGTGTTCTCGAAAATTAGTTGAAATATTTTAGACTGTATAGGATGTTTCGTATCAAAATATTGGAGCAAACACATATTTTTTAAAACTGAATACCTCATAAATTTTTACATACGTAATCAACACCTGCAAAATTTCATTTACAATAATTTATGAGTTTTATTATTATTACCGAGGGGTAAACCGCTGAGGAAGTTTTTGTACATGTCCCCAGGAAGTCGAGAAGAAGTTAGAGGAAGTTATAAGGAAGTTGAGGAAGTTGAAATGAATTCCGCATGAAAGGAATTCCGAAGGAAGTCGGGGAAGTTTTTAGGAATTCCAAGGAAGTTGAGGAAGTCTGGAGGAAGTTTGGAGGAAGTCGGGAAGTTGGAACCAAACTCCGCATGCGTGAACGGTAAACGCATGCGCAGTATTATCTTTTATAGAAAAATTCGGAGAATGTTAAACATTTATGTGGAGGAATTTCGAAGCAATCTAAGAGAAGGTCTGAGGAAGTTTGACGAAGTATAGAGAAGTTTTTGTACATAATCCAGGGAGCGGTTTACCCCTTGATTATTACTTATCGAAGTAATACTTAATAGTAATAGTTTTTGAGTTGGTTGTTAATTTATAAAATTTTAAAGTCCTGTATTATTTTATTCTATACAATGTGTGAATTCTCTCTTTTTAAAATTTGTTTTTTTTTAATTCCTGATAAATATTATCATAAAATTAGCTCACCTCCTGAATCCGCCTGTGAACGCTGACCTTATGCCACTGATTGTCATCAAAACGGACTTTATTGGGCTTGATTTGCATTTCTTGCTTGCCATTCGCCAATCCCATAGTTAGACACAGCCAACCTTCTTTGATTGCTACGTTGAGATAGTCGCTACCTTCTCCTGAAAAAAAAAAGAGACAAATAAGTGACCTTTCGCTGAAAACAAAAGGAATAAAGTAAATTTAATGAAATTAACTTAAACTAATTTTAAGTTTTAAATAAATGTTTTAATGCAAAGAAAAAAATAGAACTGACGCCAATGTAAAACTAAACTTGGTCATATTGACAAATTGATGACGACAAAAAAATATAATGAATTTATGTCAAATCGACGTAACTTCTTTTGACACGGAAATATATAAAACAATAAATTATTATAGTAGTTTTTTTATTTATGTATTTATTTACTTATTTATATATTTATTTATTTATTTGAAAATGTACTATTCTAAATGTTTCAACCCAATTACAGAGCAGCAATTAAATACTACATTGAACGAAAAACAATGAATAAAAAATAAATAACTAGCTACCAATAATACAGTTAGACTGCCTTGGGTGCCAGGACACAAAGGCATTAGTGGACACGAGAAAGCGGATGAACTTGCTAGGAAGTGATCTAAGACAAGAATAGTTCATTGGCCCGGAGCCCTTCTGCGGTACATCTGCCAGTGTCGATGTCGACAGGGAGGCTCTGGGCAAATGAACTGAGACAGGACACAGGAAATACTGGACTTCAAGGCCAGGGCATAGTCATTCTAAGGAGCCTATGGAATATCTTCGAAAGAAAGAGCAAATAAAATGTAAATTAGAATTTTGTAATAAGTTTATTCACACTTTCTCCAGATAAAATATTGAGCTTGGACAGTATATATGAATAACCAAGACTATTGTGCACAATTTTATAAAAAAAAAACTGGGAAAAAATATTCACTATGTTATATGAAATATTTAACTCGACTTGTTATCGCTTTTAAACTGTTATAAAAATAGATCAGAATCTTTAAATATTTGAAACAAGGATAAAAATACCATATTATGTTTTGATAATGTTCTATAGACTCTTTCGTAAAAAGCCTACTCCACATCTAAACAATTTTCACCTATGTTTTTAAACAAATATTTTTTGCTTGCACCTGAACAAACGTAGTCTGTCAATATTAGAATTCATTCGGTTTCAATATTGCAAATAATATACGCCAAAGTGAAGCAGATATAGGAACTTTTGGAAGCTACGCATATTTCTGAATCTAAGAAGTAAAAGACTTTTGAGGATGGCATTTTTTAATATAAAAATAAAAACGAGTAAAATTACACTAATGTTTGTGTAAGTCTAGCGAAATTGTTCGAATTGCCCACCCTGTACCATTTGGCATTGTCCTAAGCGTGTGTAAACGCCGTCTACACTTCGTTCAAGCATTCCCGGGTCGATTTGATTTATTTCAAAACGAATACGGTTTTTAAGTTCTTCCAAATCACCTAGTTTGTTTGTGTACACACGCGATTTCAAATAGCCCCACAAAAAAGAGTCTATAGGTGTTAAATCAGGCGAACGCGGAGGCCACTCGATTGTTCCACGTCGCCCGATCCACCGGCCAGTAAACGTGTTATTCAAGTACTCCCGTACACTCCATAATGAGGCGGTGCACCATCCTGCTGAAACCAAATTCTTTCCTCAGGAATATCAGGATCCTCGTTGTTCGGGAATAACTCTGCTAAGCTTGGGACCAAATCGAGCCGCAGGAAATCCAAATAGCGAGCAGGAGTTAAATTTTCCTCGAAAAAATACGGGCCTAAAATACGACGCCCTATTATTCCCGCCCAAACGTTAACCTTTCGGGAGTGCTGATGATCTACTTCTTGCGCCCAGTGCGGGTTTTCCTGATACCAATACCGGCAGTTATGTCGATGCACCGATCCATTAAGATAAAAAGTAGCCTCGTCAGAAAAAATTATGTTCTTGAGGAAGTCGGGGTCTCCGTTACATCGATGCATTAAATCTTCACAAAGGTGGAGACGGCGGTCTGGGTCGTCCTCAGTCAATGCATGTATCAAGTGACCCTTATAGGGGTGAAATTTCTCTTTTTTGAGAAAGTTCACCACAGTTACATGTGAAATATCATTGTTCAATGCAATCGACCTTGTACTAGAATGAGGGTTGTCCTGGATCTCCACCAGGATATTCAGTCTAGTTTCATCATCTACTCTAGGTCGACCCGCACGAGGAGCATCTTTCACACTACCAGTGTGACTTCCTTGCCAGTACCCTACTAACCGTAGATTGCGTAATTGGTGGTCTGTCAGGGTACGTTGCATTAAATAATTGGCAAGCTTTTTGATGGGTTCGTAACTTATCGCCGAAACCAATCATCCTCAAAATATCAATTCTATCGCGTTCACTAAGTTTTGCCATTTCGAATTAAACGATTTCACCAAAGAATGTTAAATCGGTACTGATTTTTAGTCTTCAATATTTCAGGTAATCTATTCCTTTCAAGTAAACATTTCTTTGGATCTTTTTTTTTTGAGGAATTTATCGGCAAACTCGAAGACAAAAAGTCGACCTTAATTTGCTACATACTATTTGGATTTTGTGCGGTTGAACTTGGTTCTAAATTTTGCAGTTTGATCAGGATCCTGACAATATCTGATGAATAATTCCGCAAATAATTACATAACACCAGTTGCAACTTAAGTTATCTGAAATGCTTTCTGCCGAATAAATTTTTTTCTAAGGCATTTGATCCGTATACAGCAAATTATTGCATTCAAGAACTTAAGGTGCATTTTTCTAAAAAAAATATTATGTAAGACATCGAAATTGTCACACCGTTGTTTAGATAATTATCACTGTCATCAATTTCGAATGAAAAAAATATGCGTTGTCATTTAAAAAAAAAATTATGTCATCGCTGCCGTAAATGGATTATCGAAAAAAAAATTTTCCACAAAACAAGGTGCCCTGGATCAAATAAAAATCGATGGGTCTCACCGTTTTTCGAAAAAAAATTGTTTAACGAAAATATGAATTTTATGTAGAACTTTTTTATCACGCTGTATGTATGTATATAGTCAACTTGAATATGTATGTATTATGTACATACAATACATATTAAAGTGACACGGTTACTCTTGACGATTAAGTTACGTATCAACACAAATAAATATTGTGGATGTCGTCAATTGGAAATTGAAAGAATACTCTATAACTATAAACTAAACTTTCGATAATAATCGTTTACTATCTTTGTCAAAGTTAAAAATAGTTAAAATGAACAACAAAACGTTAACGTATTTTAATTACATCAAAGAGGCACTTAGTTAACCGAGTCACTTTATAAAACTTAAATTGCGATATAAACTTTTTATTTTCGTTATTCTGAACAGCTGTCTAGTCAAAACTGAATAAAATTTCAAACGTAAAATAAGTCTACTTAATCTTATCACATGCTAGCACGAAAAAAAAAACTGGAATTCAATTCTTCTAAAAATTAGGAATAAATATTTGCGATATCAATTTTGTTTAGATAATGACAATAAATATGGGCAATTCATAATTAAATCCCTTTTTTTATTTAATTCTATTAAACGCTGTTTCAAAAGCTTCCAAAATAATATTTTGTTATAATAATTATACTCTGTGCAAATTACTTTTTTTAACTCTTATGTGATGTCAATCGATCTTTTAATATTTTAGAAGTTTGACTTAATTGTTACAAGGAATACCTTGACCTTTTTAAATTATCATCATCTTTTAATTTACTATGTTTGTTTTCAAATTTTTTTGGTAATTTTTGTGTTAATTTAACATAATTTTCAATTTTAAATACATTTAATAAATTAAGGGTAACCCTTCCAATAAAAGGAATAGAAGTATAAAGGGACAATGGGTCTGATTGATCACTAATACCATTATTATTATTATTTTGCAAATTATGTTCAGAACCACCTATAATTTATTACATTATATTGATTACTAGTATTAAAAATTAAACGTTAAAAAAACCGTCAGAATTTTTTACAAAAAATTTTAAATTTTCTTAAATTTTTGTCAATTGAACTAGGATAGCCGATTTCTTGTTTCCTTGTTCAAGAATTCACAATATATATAAGTACTGAATTATCTCGGTTATTAATTTATTATAAGAAAAGTGATAAATATAACAGTTGTAGACTTGTTGAAATTTTAAATAAGTTTTCGAAAAATAGTCGAATATCACCTAATATTCAAATGCAAATTTTTACATTTTCACAATTTTATGGATCCACTACTATTAAAGTAATAGAGAAATATTATACTAAAAAATGTTTGATAGTTTCTGACACATTTGGTATTTTACAAATTATATACTCGAAGCAACAAGACAACAAAATGTTTAAGCAATACTGGAACCAATGGTAACAGATGGTTAGTTGTTTCGAGTATATACAGGGTGTCCGCAAATTTCACAGACAACGCTTGACTGCATATTCACGACGATAAATAAATACGATTTACAAAAAAAAAGTTAAATAAAAAATATTTGGTTTTTGAGTTACAAGCCTGCAAAGTTGTCAAAAATAAAATTAATTTAATTAATAACTTCATAAACCTTTTACCGATCACGTTAAAATTTGGGACATTTATTTGGACTATTATGGCGTATTATTTCTTAAAACTTTAGTCAAATCGATATACTGGGTGAGTGAGTGGGTGAGTTTTCTCCGGTTACCTCTCTCTTTTAGCGGTCAAAATTTTTACAGTGGTTATATTTTTTTAAAACAGACAGCAACATTGAAAAAATCGTTTTATTTAAAAAAAAAATGATGTCGCTTGAGAAAATCGCCTACAGAAAGCCATTGTTGAGAAAAATTGCATTATTTGCAGGTCTGTATGTTTCGGTTTGCGTAGCAGTGTCACGGATTTAAAACTTTGAGGAGTTACGTAGGCGATGCTGATTGCTATCAGGTAATATCACATGTAAATTATGGAAATTTACAACTCTATTCCTAGTAAAATTCGTTGGTACTAAACAATTTTTGAAGCAAATTTTTATCTCCTGCGAAGCCTTTCACCAACCAGCGGTAAAATTGTAAACGTGCGTTGGGAACTAAATTTTAAGTTTTTGAGCAGGAGTTAAA